AAACTTTTTTTAAAAGACTGCGTCCTGAATATTTATCACCCATGAAAATAAGTCATTTATTTATTTTGTCTGAAAAATAAATAAATTCTTTATATTTTTTCAATTATGCTCTTTTCCGATAAACATATCTCAATATTTTACTCGCTGCTACATTGGTAAGTACTTTTGAATGCATTTATACTCAAGAAAATTTAATTAGAATAAGAATAGTATAAAAACAAAAACATTACCTATGTATCCGGAATTGTTATTTTTATCCGAAAAATTATCCCGACTACCAAGCTGCGTATCTTCAGATGGATGGATAGAATAAATAAAGATGCAATATATATATGCAATATTATTCCATACTCCATACTCCATGTGTTAGTACTCTGACCCCAGACTGTTTCGGTTATCGTAGTTTTTTTCAGATTTATTCGATATAAAGGTCTACTTATATGTCATTGAAGACGTAGTTTTTGAAAATAATCTCCATTTTAAGATTACGCTACAGTGTTTCGATTTCTTTAAGTTTTTCGGATTTATATGATATAAGAGTCTATTTATATATATCCAGAGACGTATTTTTTTTTTTAAATAATCATAATTTTAAAATTTGAAGATACGCAGCTCGATAGTCGGGATAATTTTTCGGATAAAAATAACAATTCCGGTCTGTGATACATAGGTAATTTTTTTTTATTTTTATACTATTCTTATTCTAATTAAATTTTCTTGAGTATAAATGCATTCAAAAGTACTTACCAATGTAGCAGCGAGTAAAATATTGAGATATCTTTGTCGGAAAAGAGCATAATTGAAAAATTACAAAGAATTTATTTATTTTTCAGACAAAATAAATAAATGACTTATTTTCATGGGTGATAAATATTCAAGACGCAGTCTTTTAAAAAATGTTTTAATTTTTTATTTGTGCCAACGTTTCAACCCAAACATGTGGGTCATCTTCAGGGCTTAAAATTTTAAAATACAATCAGAGATATAATATTATACGACCGATAATGTTAAATAATAAACTATAGTGATTGATGGTATATGAATCATAACTATTATTACAATACACAATATTAAAAATCAAATATGTAAAAAGTTATAGAAACTAAAAATAATATATATAATCTATTTATAAAAAATTGTAATATTTTCTCTTACTAACCGTGGTTCGAACACTGAATGTTTTCAAGTAATGACACATTTGGTAGGTATACACGGTGGGCCAGACCCCCTACCGTGCACCCCCTCCCCTCCCCACTTGAAATATTTTCACACAACTTTATTAATGAATACTCTTGTTTATTTAAAAAAAATGTATTTATTTTAAAAATGCATTTACTACATATATCATTTTATTTTTATATATATTATTATATTCTACCTTTTACAATATGTTATGTTATGTTAATTATCATTCGTAATGTTTGTACGTAATATAAATTCCCGAACCTTTGTATTTACACATGTAAAAGTGAATACGGCAGTATTCACGTTTATTAAAATGAATACCCTTAAATTTACAGAAGTGAAAGCAGATATTTTTACACAATCTTATTTATTAAAAATAATATATTTATTAAATTGTTTATATAAAAAAATTGTTTTACTATATATCCCATTTTATTTTTATTTATAGTATTATATCCTTCGTTTTACAATATATTATGATAATTATAACTCGGAATTTTTGTACGTAATATAAATTCTCAAGCATTTTTTTTTTATAGGGTCCACAGGGTAGAGCCTCTCCCGTACCACAATGCCTACCAGAATACAGAAAGCCTACGCCAATGATCCTAGACGTACAGACTTTTCGGCGCACGGTTTACTTATGGGCTGCTAATGGCAATAAAGATAAGTTTAATGGACGGCCAGGGTAGGTACAAAACTCGGGACAATACCCTGGAAATTCCATCGGGGAATACATGGACACGACAGACTTAAGTTGAAGCAAGGCAAGGGGCAAGAGCTGTCAAATTTGAATAGTGACCTTTCCGGACCTGCCGTTCAGTGTGAAATGTGTGAATACATTTATTAATGTATTAAGTTTTGCATATAAAACAATGTATGAAGTTGATAGCGAAACTGAATCTGTTTGTTTAGCAGGCTCTTTTAATATGGATAATAGTGATTTTTTTAAAAAGTTTTTTCACGAGAGTACCGGCTCTTTATGAAATTCCAATATTCTCACCTATTCAGAATTTTTATTGGGGGGAGGGAGGGAGGAGATGCCCGAAGAATATAATACTATATATACAAATAAAATGGTATATTTAGTAATTTTTTTTAAATAAATACATTTATTTTAATAAATAATCATTCATTAATAAGATTATGTGAAAATATTTGCATTCACTTCTGTAAATTTAAGCGTATTCATTTTAATAAACGTGAATACTGCCGCATTCACTTTTACTAGTATAAATACAAATGTTCCAGAATTTATATTACGTACAAACATTACGAGTGATAATTAACATAATATAATACATTGTAACATAATTAACATAACATATTGAAGAATATAATACTATATATAAAAATAAAATGATATATATAGTAAATATATTTTTTTAAATAAATAATTTAATAAATACATTTTTTTAAATAAATAAGAGTATTCATTAATAAGGTTTTGTGAAAATATTTCCATTCACTTCTGTAAATTTAAGGGTATTCATTTTGGTAAACGTGAATACTGCCGTATTCACTTTTACATGTGTAAATACAGCCGTATTCACTTTTACAATCGTGAATATGGCCGGATTTATATTTACAGCCGTGAATACGTATCTTCTGTATTCATATTACTTTTTATGAATATGAATATATTCATATTTATATTTATTTGTACCATAAACATAAATGGTATTCGTATTTATATTTTTGAATATAAATATGCCCATTTCTGCCTACTAGTGATGGGGTGTGACAGATTTTCCGTCACAGCTCTGACAGTTACAGCTCCGGGAAAATCACTGTGACAAATCACAGTGATTTTTTTCCGGTGATAAATATATAATGGCTCCTTGGCGAAAGGATCACTGTGAAATCGCAGTTTACATGTTTAAACTTATATTAAAATAAAAAAACAGATTCTTTTTTTGTATGTGATAGGTTTAAAAGGTTTAAAGGTTTTAAAGAAAAGGTTTAATTTTAAATGGATAAAGTTGAATTTGACTCGGAAAAGATTGAATTTGACTTGGAAATGATTGAATTTGAAATGGAAAAGTTGAATTTGACTTTGAATAAGTTGAATTTGCCTCGGAAAAGCTTGAATTTGAGTCTCATCTCCAACCTGACAGACAGCCCTCTATACACCAAGCTACCATAGTTCAAGTATGGGAAAACAAGGGAGGTTACAAGGAACAATCTGCTTTTTAGAGGAATACAATTATGGAATCTTAGGAATGGTTTAAGGATAGGTATAGATTTTCCGGTAAACATGAATAAATGAAAATAATTTTATTATTCTGGGACTAGCGTCCCTTTAGAACAAGTTACAAATACAGAATATATATTAATATTTTGGTGTGTCCACAAAATACACTTTAATATTTACAGGTTGATTAGGAATACAGTAAAGTTATAAATAATAAAAAGATATAAAACGTGTAAATATAAAATATACAGATAAAGTAATGAAGTAAACGAAATATCGATGAATCACAAAATAATCAGAGTATATTGAATTTGCGTGTCGAATATCTGAAGGTATAGACGGGATTGAAAGGAGCGTTTGAATTGTAAGTTCTGTAGGTTCTGTAGGTTCTGTAGGTAGGTTGTATTGTAGGTTCTGTTTAAGTTTAGCTTCGAGTTCTCCGGAGAGTCCACCATACACCATGCAGCCATAGTCGAAGTGGGTTAAAACTAGAGAGGAGACCAGGAGTTGACGGGTTTTAAACGGAAGAAGATAACGTAGGTGGTTAAACTGTTTCAGGGTGGAAATAGTACGGCGGGAAATTTGGGAGATGTGTGGTTTCCAGGAGAGACTTTAATCGAGGCTAACGCCTAGGTTTTTAACGGTGGTATGGAAGGAGATAGGCGAGTTGTCCAGAAGAAGATTAGGAGGTGCTGAAATGGATTTGAGGAGTGAGGGGGATCCGATCAGAATGGCTTTTGTCTTCTCCGTATTTAATGTCAGCTTATTAAGATTGCGTTGGCATGGTTAATCCCAGAAAAAGTTCTGGTCAAAGGTTGCTCCTAGGTGTTTGACTCTAAAAAAAAAATGGAGGGGCGGTTATTGAGAAAAAGTAGAGGAGAGTAAGGAAGTTCAATATATTATTTATTTAAATTAACACAAAATGTTTAATTTATATTTAATGTTATAAAACAGGAATTGCAACTTCTAAGTTCTTTTGTGAAAAAGATCCATTTTTACAGTTTCTGTGAAACGTTTTAGGAAAACAGATTTTAAAATAAAAGTTCCAAGGAACTTTTTTGTAATAAAGTTCTGTGTTTGTGGTAACTCTGTGTTTGTGGTCAACTATAATTTTTTTAACTTCCGAAATAAAAAATACGTTAAACGACAAGTGAACAGTAATTGGGCTAAGAATTTTTTTTTCTTTTTTTTTACAGCAATTAACTATATTTATTGAGAGATATTACAATCTGTCATAAATAAGGACATATAGGCTAAGATTAGAATTATAATCTTAAATGAATAACTTCATTCTAATGTAATGTTTGTTTGGGTAGCTAAGAAGAAAAGCCATTTTTTGTCGAAATCAACAGAACTTTCAAAAATATATATATATATATATATATATATATATATATATATTAAAAGATAAGATCTGTAAAAACTTTACATGAAATTTTGGGAGGGAAAAAGTTCTAGTTCCAAAAAAAAGTACAAATAATTGAAAATAATGATTCCAGAAATACCGAAACTGATTCAAAATTAAATGTTAAAATAGCACTTCCAACTCTGTTATAAAATTATTTTAATTAGTAAATAATAATAATTCTTCTTCTTTGGAAGTGAGCTAAGTATTACATACCTTTATTGCTCTTCTATGGCAATGCATTGTATGCGATGAAACATAACCGAATGGACCTTGTAAACGGTAAAACACCTTACAGCTTAAAAATCTTATGAAACAGTGATAAAATTGTCTACAACTGCTACATCTGAAAAATAATGTGTTTAATAATTCCGTAGGTAACACATTTAAAATATTTTTCATCTATTTCATTTTATTGATTGAATATTTGTCAAATGAAATATGTACTTTCATTTGTTACCATAATACCAAATATTGCTTTGAGCATCAAAATAATAATTCCACTATTGGGTTTTCATTAAAATTTAATTATATTATATTATACAGCCACATACCGATGGTACAACATCACATTCGGACATCATATCAAAAATTTCATGTTAAACTTCACGGACATATCAACAAACGTTTACAAAACATGGCCATTATTAGTGTTGCCCGAAAATGGTCTTGGTCTTATACTTTTGCAAGACCAAGACCAAGACCGCTTAGATTGTCGCATGACCAAGACCAAGACCGGACCCTGCAAGTCTTGCGCAAGACCAAGACTGACCTGCAAAAGTCTTGCGTCTCGCAGTTAAATAAAACTGAGATTTAGTATTTAGAGATTATTGAGTATTTAGTTTCCATCCAACTATAAAGTAAGTAGTTATAACACAGAAATCTATTGTATTGATTATTATAATGTGATGTTAATACGGCGTTTCAACATTTTAACCTTACGTTAAATCTAAACAGTTTTTTTTTCTTCTTAAATCGTGAATTTGAGCTCAGACCTCCAAATCTTGAACATATGTCAATACTGGAGTAAGATAAGATAGCAAAAAGAAATTGGTTTTGGTGTATGAAAATGAGGGAAAAATAGTTTAAAGGACAACGTTAGTTACTATATGTAAAGGCTTGGAAAATGCAATTTATTTGTATTCGGCTCTTCATTTCTATCATCTGGGTTTAAGGCAATAATATCACTAGTATATAATGATAACATAACTGACCATCAAAAACCACCTACGGCACCTATGATGCTAATATTGCATCAGTTACGACTTATCAAATGATTATGTGGGATTTCCCATAGGTACACCTACTAACTTCGTCCTTTATATTTTGAATTATATAAACATATGTATTTATGTTTTGAAAGATGATAGTCTACACAGCAAAGTTCAAATTTATCATCCTAGATGGAGCATAGTAACAGTTTTTGCTCCAGCCAATATGATGACCAGAGCCTTTATGTATTTATGCAGTAAAAAAAGTTAAACAACGCCAAATGAATATGAAATTCGTTAAAATAATATTTTCTAGAAACTCTAGAAGTTTGCTTCTATAAGACTCATAGCGAAAATTCTAAGTCAGGATTCTTAAGAAAAAAAATTAAATGAATAAAAAATTCTTCTTAAACATAAATCAGACATAATTAGTAATAATTAAAAAACACAATGTAAGATATTTATTAACCATTTAACGACAGTGGATTCACATATCAGCCGAGAGCCTGTCGGGCTCTTCTCTTGAAATTGGGATGTGCTCTGTAAAGCAACTCCATTTTCAAATTATCTCGCGACCTTTCTATGAGACATAAGGTAATTTTTTGTTTGGATATTATGGGGGCAGTGGACTGATAATGGGCTCCAGATGGTGAACCTTGCTACATTGCATGGACTGGTTGTTGGAACAACTCTTTTTCCTCGAAAGAATATCCACAAAGCAACAAGGATCTCCCCAAATGGGCAAACAACATCACAGATAGACCATGTACTCATTAGTGCCGTCAAAAGTCCAACATGATAAATGCAAGATCTTATAGCGATCTTATTAGCGTCCCTCAAGGCTCTCCCAAGAAACATATCGAAGAAAAAGACGCGAAGGGAAGAGATTATTCCGCGGAAAGAGAAGAGCTTGGGAAAATAAGAACATGGAGGACACAGAGGCATTGCGCGGCCAAAATGAAAGTCGGCTGTTCTTTCAGAGAATAAATGAGGGTAGGGCAGCTTTCAGGCCCAGAGTGACGGCACGCAAAGACACGGACGGAACTCTTTTAAGCCACAAAGATGACGTACTAAAGAGATGGGTACAACACTTCAAAGACACATTAAACAGATGAACGGTGCCTGGAGAAGTAGGAGTAATGAAGGAAGACTCCCTGAATTCTATTGAACCCCCGGATGAGGATGAAATGGAAAACGCCCTGAGGAAATTAAAAAATGAAAAGGCGCAAGGCCCGGATAGAATCCAGTCAGAGCTGTTGAAATGTGGAGGTGAAGAACTCAAGAAAGCTCTGAATGATTTAATGCTGACCATCTGGGAGAGGGAAGCTATGCCTACGGAATGGGCAACAGCCATTATCTGCCCATACATAAGAAAGGAGATCAAACAGAATGCACTAACTATCGAGGAATCTCACTCCTTTCGTGTGCTTATACGCTGCTCTCTAACATTCTTTTTGAGAGGATCCTCCCGTATTCTGAAAAGGAACTGGGGAAATATTAGGCTGGATTTTGACGAGGACGCTCAACCACTGATCAACTATTCTCTCTCAGGATGATCCTAGAAAAGACTATGGAGCGTAAGGTAGTCACCCACCATTTATTCCTGGACTTTAAAGTAGCATACGACAGTGTTGATAGTACACAACTATACTGTGCCTTGGAGGAGATAAGTATCCCTCAGAAGCTTATACGCTTAATCAAGATGACCATGGATAGCTCGAGATGTAGAATACGCGTCGGTTCTGATGCCTCCGAAGAGTTTAAAGTGAGCAGTAGGGTTCGGGAAGGGGATGCCCTCGCCTGTCTATTATGCCTGTCTATTATAACTGCGATATAATCTTCAATCGCTTGAATCAGCTTCTTGATTTTGCTGATGATATTGACATAATAGGAAGGTCTGAACGGGCTCTCAGAGAAGCGTTTATAGCCCTTGAAGCAGCTGCAAGACGACTTGGTGTAGAAGTCAACAAGAGGAAAACTAAGTTTATGAGAGTTAGTGGTGAGGTGGATCTGAACTCTCCATTTGAGGGCGGTACTTTTAAGTTTGAGAGAGTAAAAAGTTTTATATACCTTGGGTCTGAAATGAATAGCAAAAATGACATAGCTCAAGAAATATAGAGGAGGATCAAGGGTGCCAATAGATGTGTCTTCGGACTTGGCCGACACCTAAGAAGTAGCTATCTCTCAAAGAAAACCAAGCTGATCATATACAAGACCCTTGTACGGCCTGTTTTGACATGTGGCTCAGAGGCTTGGACGATGACGAAAAGTGATGAGATGAAGCTGAATGTGTTCGAGCGAGGAGTCCTCAGAAGGATTTATGGTCCAGTAAAGGAGGGTGATGTCTGGAGGAAAAGAAAAAATAGGGAGCTCAGTTCTCTTTATACAGACATCGACGTAGTTACCTATATTAAACTTGCCAGACTAAGGTGGGCAGGACATGTGGCCAGTTCCTTTGAAATACCCAAGAAAGTAATGATGGAGGAGCTGCACTTCGCAAGACGGGTAAGAAGGCCGAGGACGAGATGGTTGGACAGCGTGGCCTATGAAGCGAGAACCCTGCTTGGGGTATGGAACTGGAGAGCTGCAGCCGAAGAAAGAGCCAACTTGCGGAAGCTCTTGGAGGAGCCCCAGTCTCGGTGACGGGATGTCGCGCCACATATGATGATATTATGGGAATTTTTTTAATGACCTCAGCAGATAAACTTTGCGACCCATACTTGACAGGTCCTTGTCTCCTTTTATACCTGTATTTATACCTTCAACAGATCTATACCGATCTTGAGTAGTACATTTAAAATGCAAAATCAAATAAGATCTTTTTTGATCTATTTTGCAATTTGGCACTAAAGTAGATCTTTTTGCGATTTTGCTCTTAATCAAATCTATTTTGTAATTTAGCATAAAAAAAGATCTATTCTTGTGTCTTCATTCAGTTGATTATATAACGAATTTACGCTAAACTAAATATCTAATAATATATGAGAAGGAGTTAGTCGAGGGTGCGGTCAAATAAATAATAAATTAAAATATATTAATTATTTTAACTTTTGCCGACGTTTCGACCCACTTTGCAGGTCGTCTTCAGGGCTACAAAAGATACAAAACAAGTTGAAAATAAAAAATAAATATAAGTATATATAAAATAAGAAGAAGTTGTCAGATACAGAAATAAAAGATGGTATCAGATATATAGTGGGTGACAATGTAGTAAAAATATTAGGAATTATATATGTAGAAGATACAAATAAATGGAAAATAAGTATGAATAAAAATAAAAATAAAGGAGAATATAGCATGTAAGCATGTAAGCATGTAAGTATTTATGTAGCATGTAAGCATTTATTTCTGTATCTGACAACTTCTTCTTATTTTATATATACTTATATTCATTTTTTATTTTCAATTTGTTTTGTATCTTTTGTAGCCCTGAAGACGACCTGCAAAGTGGGTCGAAACGTCGGCAAAAATTAAAATAATTAATATATTTTAATTTATTATTTATTTGACCGCACCCTCGACTAACTCCTTCTCATATTATATCAACGGTCAACCATCTCTACATCATTATCTAATAATATAAATTTATTGAACGAATCGGCATCGAACCTTTCGGTTCGCTAAGTCTTTTATTTTCATTATTATTATCATCAATTTAATGAAGACAAATTAAAATTCCCTTGAAATAGCCAGATATTTGTCTAGAAAACATTATTAAGTAATATCCTAGACGAAAAAAACAAAACATTTGTGTATTGAGTCAGAGGACGTGGTTAATTTCTTACTTTGATTCCAAGAAATATTTCCTGTTTGCCCATGGTTTTTCATTTGATTACCTTATTTAATGCTTTATAATTTGCAAGAATACATAACCTGGACAATTCTCTTTGTTTACATTCTGAAATAAAGGAATAAGGCTCCTCCTAATTATTAAATCTTCGACAACTTATGTTATATTATATCCCCATCGGTCGCTGTTGACTTATTGGATAAGACCGACAAAGACCTGGCTTTATCAAAAGGCTGTGCGACAAGTGTATTACAGGACTGACTTTACTGTATCGCCTCCGCTTTCATGACAAAGGTTGCCGACTTTCCAAAGAATAAAATAAGTTTACAGGCTTACGAACCGGAA